GCAGCAAATGGGTGGAGCTACTTTGTTCCAGACCAGCAGATATTTCAGACCCTCGAAGAGAGAAGAAGGAAGGTGAAAGAAGGAGCAATGCTGAGGCAAAGTCAAGTCAAGGCCACACGAGAATCCCTTGGAGGTATGCTTCACTATCACCTAGCATCAGTGTCACAAGTAAAAACGTGCCGCAATGTCAGAGCTGTTTCCACACCCTCATATTAAATAGATAGCAGAGATGGACAAAATACAGAAATATACTTCAAAATTTGTTGAAAATGCTAGAGGATATCAGTGACTGTAATAGATACAATGTTTCTGGTTATTCAGTAATGATAGCAGTATAGTGTCTGTCACATGTCAAATAACTTGTCAATGTCCAGGTAATTACATCTTATCAAATGCAGAAATCCGTTCCCAAAGAGAATGTGGAGCTGTATAAAACTTTTTAAAAAAGAAAATATAAATGTACAATCTTAACAGTGACAGAGCATTCTCACTCAGATCATATGCAACATGACATTTTCCCATTTCACTTTGCTCTGACAGCTGTTTTCTTCTCAGTTTCCAGTATTAAGCTGCAGGAACTGAGAATAATACTACTCGGTCAGAAGACTGTTGGAAAGAGTGCAACAGGAAATACTCTCCTGCATAAAGAAGTCTTTGCATCTAGTCAGAATGAACAATGTCAAATGCAAGATGGGGAGGTTTCGGGCCGACGAGTCACAGTGATTGACACCCCGGGCTGGTGGCAGAACTCCTCATGCTGCACAGATGAGACAGACAAAGAAATTGCCCGAGGTTTTTCACTGAGCCCAGCAGGAGTTCATGTTATTCTGCTGGTCATTCCTTTGGACCTGACATTCAGAGATTCTCAACGAGTCACTCTGGAGGATCACATGAACCTTTTTCATGCCACTGTATGGAAACACGCAATGGTTCTGTTCACATATGGAGACAAACTAGCAGATAAATCTTTGGAGGAGCACATTGAAAGGGAGCATAGTGCCCTGCGCTGGGTGATTGAGAAGTGTGAGAACAGGTACCATGCCATTAACAATCTGAAAAAAATGGATATGAATCAGGTGACAGAGCTGTTTGAGAAGATAGAGGAAATAGTAGCAGGAAACAGTGGCAAGCTCTTTTGTCCAAACATGAATGAAATGCACCTGAGAATCGAAGAGACGTTCAAGCAGAAGCAACTGAAACATGTGCTGAAGCAAAGACTAGTGCGGGAGTACGGGAGGAGAGAGCTGGAGCTAATGAAAGAGTTCAAGGAAACACTCGTTGAGCTGCAAAATGACATTAGGGGAGGTGCTATGGGCACAAAATCCAAGTCCCTGGGTGAGTATTTTGAGGAAGATAATATATATGTTTATATTCATCCTATTTTGTAAATGATGATTTTTTTTATTAACATGTTTTGATGATTATTATTAGTTGGTGACAGGGTGAAACTCACAACCAGGTCTACTGGTCAGGGGAAGAGAGATGGCAAGGAGGAAAAACTAGATACAAAAATCAGCCAAAAAATTAAAAAGCTGGATGAAGATATAGAGAAATTATCACATTTTCTTGGAAACAGCAAGGAATTTTTGATCCCTGATTGTAAGTCCAATTACATTATCAATCCTAGCATTTAAAGTATTATCAAGCACAAAATAAATCTAAATGTGTGTTTTGTTTTCAGTTAAAGGACGCAGTCCAGCACCTTCTATTCCTGAGTCTTTCTTAGAGCGCAAACAATCAACCGGCAACTTTGAGAAAGTTCTGAGTTGGTTATCGAATCTTCATATCGGCACAAATGTGGAGAACCAGCTGACTCTCAACTTCTCTCAAACATCAGGCTACAGATCTATGGTGCCATCCGACACCTTTGACTTTGACGGAGAAGTTGAAGTTCCCGAGTGAACAAATTAAAAGATTACTGCATTCTGTAGTGAATTTAAAAATGTCGAGCAAAAGAGTCCAACAATACTGTGAATTTATGGGGTAGCAGCGCCTCTCATGTTGGAGAACTGTTGGAGAATTGGCTCAGGTAGCTTAATCTGAAAAATAAGCTACCATTGCTTGTCCCAGCCTCATTAGCACTGTTTGTCTTTGAGCAAACAAGGAACAGTGACTATGGGGAATGTGATCGACTGTTCACCCACTGAGCTAAACCGGTGACCAGGGGGCACGTCTCTTAAATATGATATATATCACAAACTCAGTCTACATCCTTGAGTAAGGTGTTCCAGAACCTGGAACCTCTATTTATTTCTCTTCATTTCCTATCACTGACCGCGGTCCTGTCCGTTCTGATTGCAATAACTCAAAATGAAAAGAAAAATAAATAAATAAAAAATAATAAAGGTTCAACAAAATATGACAATCAAGTGGACAGTATAGCAAAAGCTGTAATTTTCTACTTGAGAAAATAAAGCTGTTGGGCATTTTTCTTGGTCTTCAGGTAATAATTCTAATTGCAGTGCCGTTAAGGACATGAAAAAAGAAAAAAAAAATCAATTAAACTGGAATTTATGGACAAAGTGAAAGAAACTGTTGGACCGAGGCATCAAAGAAAAGATATCATGAAAAAGAAGTTGAGAATGCCAAGTGGAACTTCCTAAGACCCGAACTCTTCCACGGCATGCATTTTTAATTTCTCTTTGACATTTGGGCATATTGGCACCTGATGAATGTAAAAACAAAGAATTACCAGATTTTTTTTTTTAACCTGATTTTTTGTTTCTAAGAAAAATTAGAGCCACATATGAGGATATTCGTTTAAAATTTAGCAGTATAATGTCCTTGTAAGTGGATATCAGGCTTGAGTATTTGGTCTAAATAACGCAAAATGTGATGTCCACATATGTGGACACCAGATCCTAGGAGGTTAAAGATGGCTTACAACATCGCCATCATCCACCCCAGGTAGCACCCCTTCCATTACCCCTAACGT